GGTTTTTTTTTGACATTATGTAGGTTTTTCTACAAGATGTTAACTAAGCACTTAGTTATACGTGTTGCCTAAACGTCATGAGGCTTGTTATCAATCTTTAGCTCTGATGTGATGTAAAATCTGCTTCTGAGATTGCATTACTGGATGTCTAAGTTGTATGTGTTGGTGATAATTACATTGGGTTCTTGTCTCTTAATTGAGATTCAAAGCTAGAAATTAGTTGCGCATCCACTTTTTCTTATCCATTCTGGAAATTACATATACAAATTTGCTGAATTTCAAAAATGAGAGAGATAAGAAATAATTATATTCACTGTCGAATTACAAGTCATATACATGCTAACAGTAATTACACACAACGCGGGCCGGTGATGATTTCCCGTAATTCTAATTTTTTCGTAATTTATAAGTTTGAACATAACCTCTCTTCAGAAAGCACAACATAAAAATAACCCTTCGGGCACAGCCAATAGATATACTTTATTGGCAGCATATTCAGTAAAGATTTTCTCACACAGCAAATATCACTGATTTTATACACATACATACCAATACACATAATCATCCAGATGCGATCTTGCTATTCAACCAACTTTCTTCTCAGAGATAAAAACTACAGACAAGGACCATTTGGCTTCACAAAAAAAACATGCAACCAATAATGCGTGTAGTTTAGTTGAGTGATTCCTCCTTAGATGGATGTTCACAATGATCCTAGTGAGCAAACGTGGAATGACTCCCTAAAAACTACCTAGTTTGCAAGATGACGTCTTAAAGTTTTTTTTTTTTGATAGTTTTTTACATGATACCCCTGCCGTGCTTGCTTCTATTTGACGTACTGAAGTACTCGGGTCTTCTTCGACTGATTGTAGTACGATGTCCATGTTCCTTCACCATGTGCTGGATTTATGTATCGTCTCTCTGAGAGAAACGGTGCATGACGAGCAGTATTTGGATATATCTCACGATAAAGCCTAGCTACAGCACTAGCATTGTATCTACATTTTCTATAAACCAGGTGAATGTTGGCGTATTCATTTACGGTGTACACTACGAAGAATGACACTGTCCATCACACCGTCTAAGAAAAAATGAAATTTGTAGTAAAAGATGGTGTTGATTTTTCCGATTTTTTTTAAATGCCTTTAATGTGAAACGTACACGACTTAGATTTTTTTATATGTTTCTGAAAGCTTCATGACTTGGCCTATCCCCCGTTTCCGGCTTGAGGTCGACTTCTGGGACACCCTGTATGTTAGTGTTACTTGTATATTTGGACATTTATGTACCTTTAAAGATGTGGAAAGGAACTTGGAAAACATTCACATAAATGAGAACCAGGGGGAACCAAGCAATGAAGAAAATAACGAAGCTGCTGCCGAGCTAAGCAACAGGGAGGAAAGTGAAGTTGAGGATCCCCAACCCTCAACTGCAGATAATTAATTTTGTGATCAGTAATTTATAATAAAAATTAATAGAATGATAATTTTTTGTAATATGGTAGGCAAATTGTTTTCACATTGCCGAAGAGATTATTGATGATTTTCTGTGGCTTTTTAGGATACTTCTTTCGTTAATAGGAAATATGTAAATACTTAATTTATGATTTTTATGTACAGTGAATTAAACATGTTTTAAATAAACAGAAGTTTGATTGCGATCTTCCAACCTGTGAACCTCGGCCATATATTCCCGATTAAAGGGAATAGTCTGGTGAAATTAACTTCACAAGTTTATTAGCAATCACCTCGAACCAGTGGCGGATCCAGAGGGTCTGAATTCCCCCGAAATTTCTGAGTTTGAAAAATTGTATGTTTTTCTATTTGCGACTTGACATTTTCTTCACATGGAGCCTGGAAATATGTTCAATACCCCCTGCCTCGAATGGAAAGTAGTAGTCATGGTGGATTATGCCTGGTGAAATTAACTTGGCACATTTATTTGACAAACACCTGGAACGCATGTAGTCGATGTTAATAGGTGATCTATAAAAATAGCCCGTCAAAGTCTATATTGCAAACAACTAAAGTGGGAGTAATCAATGTCGGGGAAATTGATGGAAGTAGTCTGGTGAAATTAACTTTTCAAGTTTGGCAAACATCACAAATAGCAGTAGTCGATGTGTGCATGTAGATTCTAAGATATAGCCTGGTGAAAGTAGCTTCGCAAATTTAATTGTCAAACATCTCGAACGGGAGCTGGTTCAACAGTTTTTGATGCACTAGGCGAGGGTCCTCAGTTGCTACAGTCAGAGGGTGACTTACACATAGTTTACATTGAAAGATAAATATGCTTTATTGTCTGAAGAATACAATAATTCTTAATGAACTTCAAAAAAATACAATGTGGATCTCAAGTAAATGAGTTGTAGAACTCACACATGGTATGACACGGTTTACACATAAGGAACTCTTTAAGTTCAGGGCGAAATATCTTTTGATATTAACAGGGAGGCACACGTAAATTTTCAAACCATTATTAAAGTCTTACAGGTGTTGATTTAGGCACTACTAGTTTAACACATTGACTGCCAACTACGAGATAACTCGTAGATTAATTAAACTCTGAATATATCAGTACTAATATCGATAAATGGTTTCTGGGAATAGAACAAAAAATCAATGCTGGCTTGCATGAAAAGAAAATTCATTAAAAAACGAACAAAAAATATAATTAAAAAAATCAATTCAAATCCAAGAAATAAAATAATATTTGATTGTTTGTTGAACTTCTGAAAATTGCCGTAGCAGTCAACGTGTAAGGATCTTGTTTGCCTTTTTTATGCCTGAAATTTAGATTTATTTTTAAGAATAACAATAGCTGTTTCTAGAATAAATAACGATACCACAGTCGTTATTTTAAGATTGAAAATGAGGGCCTGCATGTAGCTCTAGGAATGCTTTTGTTGTTCAGTTGGCCCACTTCAAGATTTGTACCAAAATATGCCTTTATAAACTAAACATGACGAAACTATTTACTTCTAAAACAATTTAGATACACTCAACATGGAATGCTTCATTTTTTTGCGAATAACTCTACTGCGACTGTCACCAACACAAACTTCGAATCGGGCCTCATCACTCCATTGTATTGCACACCATTGTTGAGGTGTCCATTGTCTAGGTTCTTTAGCCCATCTAAGCCGATTTTTCTTTTGCAGTGGAGTTAATAGTGGCTTTTCTTTGGCCTATAAACAAGTTGTGCAACTTTAGGGTTTTTACTTCACTTTTTTTAATAAGAAAACTTAACTTGCTGGTACTAAATCCCTGTGTGCCTCTCTATGAGTTGTGGACCTCGAAATTCTCCTGCCAACAGCGTCACTCCACAGAGCACTTAATTGTAAATAATTGGCACGCCTGGTTTTCACGATTATTCTTCTTAATGCTCTTCGGTCTGCATTTGTGATATTACTTTTTTTCACATATCGTGGCTTAATATTAACTGAGCCAGTTACGCTATATCTTCTAAACGAATTTTCTCACTAATAACCTTTCCTCTACCCATTTTGAAAATCTTAACTACCCAAAACTATTTTAAACGTATTCTGTCAGCTGTGATTAATAAAAACAATTGTCATGGCTGTTATTTTTCATAGCTACCTATGCGTTATAGACTTATTTTGCATTGAAACTATTTTAAACGTATTCTGTCAGCTGTGATTAATAAAAACAATTGTCATGGCTTTTATTTTTCATAGTCACCTATGCGTTATAGACTTATTTTGCATTGAAATGAAAATAGGTTGATATGCTGTAATTGCAACTTGTGTTATTTTTATGCTGCAAATTTGATTAGGGAGTGATAAAGTTGGTGTTTTCTACTATATATTATCAAAATATTCATTGTTAATATTTTAAACCTATAACACCCTTCTACATTTTTATTATTTGTGTTTGATAAGAAAAAAACTAAGATTTCAATAGTTGGGCCAACTGAAGTGGGAAGGGGCTCGTATATCTAAGGAAAATGGAATGCTTTATCTCACTCTATTTTCAAATAACGCAAAGTATCTGCCTAAGGCTGTGCTTTTCCCTTCGTTGTAAGTGTTCTTAATAGAGGAATAGTCTATTTGACAGCATTGAAGTATAATAGCGAAATAAAACGCACTTCACTTTAATTTACACCTCAAAATGTATATTTTTTGCGAAACAATCAAATCAAAATACCCTATTTATTTAAACATTAATCTATGACAGAAACGCTCTGTGATTCGTGGCAACTCTGGTGACGTCACATGCAACTAAACAAACATCCCGTTGTACATGACGTGTACGTTTCTGGTTGCTTTCTGTAAGGTATTAGATTATAAACCTATTTCTAGAACAGTTTTCTATTAATATTTTATAAGTCTTTCAACTAGTTTTAGGCGAGCTGATAACTGCAACTTATACCTTATTCCCACGAATATCCATCACGCTTTGACGTCTATTGAGGTGAACAGCTGATCAGCAAGTGACATTTTTGTGTTAGTCTGCGACGTTGGCAATAATGAATGGGGTGTAAATTGATGTAAATCTAGCAACTCTTGTTTGTAGCGTTTTGTTTTCTGTATTTTCTAAATAAAACAGCTGTACAGCAGAGTACAAAATGAATCTGTAGCGTACAAAAAACCAAAATAAAATACTGCTCTGACTACCTGATGCTGACGGATCGTTCAGAATTATGTATCATATGCCGATATGGGTAATTTTTAGATATTACTAGATAATCAGCTGTCATTCTTTCATGATGGATACTCGTGAAATAAGGTATACCTAGGGTAGATGCATTTTTCTTCAAAAATAATGCTGATTACTATGCTGCGGAACTTAAAAATGCCAAAACAAGAATGTAAGTAAAATTATATGAAAGATATTTACCTTTAATAACCTTTATGTATGATCATTAGAGGTTTTATATATAGTTAATCTTATTTTAGGTTATGTTGATAAAAAAACAGTTCTGTTTAATATCGTTTCATGTAATGAGACATGTTTTTATGTTTTTCTTTTGTTTTACAGGTCCGGAAGAGAATCTTATGGAGACGATGCTGTTGGCTATGTCTAACTACACCGGGAGAGTGGGATTTGCACAGTTCAAGTGCAAAATGTGCCCAGAGCACCTTGTAGGAACCAAAGCATATAATGTGATGATGATTATAAATGAAAATGAAGCCGGAATTATTGCAAGTGCCATGATTGTGCTGCTTCAGCAGGAGGCTGCAAGCATGCAGTTGCTTTCTTGATGTGGGTGCATCGGCGCGGTGAGAAACGTCCATGTAGTTCAGTTGAGTATTACTGGAAAAAGTCAACATTGTCTAGAGTTGGGACTACTCTGAAGTACATTACTGTGCAACAGCTGTCTAAAAAAGAAGTGCCTCACAGACCGAGTACATCAGCGCTTTATACTGAATTTATTTCAGAAGCAAAAAAAGTTAAGTTGTCAACTGTGAATTGCTAAAATATCAGCATGATTTTAAACATGTAATGTGTTGCACTGATGCAGTGTCAGCATAGCTAGAGGCTGCCCTCGGGGCGGAGTTCTGTCATCCCTAATGTGGTGCCTCGGGGCGAACGAACTCCTCGTTAGGCTCAGCAGTGATGCTGTCTACGTGCAAACCTATGTTGATAATTTAAGCATAGTAGTTAGGGGTCGTTTTTGTAGAACAGTCTCTGAAATCATACAAGGCGCTCTGCGATATCGTGGTGTAGGGAAGTCGATCTTTCTGTCAATGCTGGAAAGACCAAGCTGAACCTATTCACTAGGAGAAGAAAGCTTGACGGACTTGTCTTGATGACCTTCTTTGGGACTGCTGGATCTCCCACCGTTGGATCTAGTAATCCGCGGTGAAGCGAGAGTAGTCGCTGATCGTCTGTGGAGTCAGGGTAGGTGGGCCTTCTTGAATCCTGTCAAGAGGCATACAGCCATTTTAGTCGAACTGCAAAGGGAGGATCTCGTCCATTTAAGCAGGGGTGATCTCATTACCCCTAAATATGCTTCAACCGTAAGTTTAATGTGGAGTATCCAACGAGGGAGGAGTGAGACGTCAGTAGCCGGTGACTCTCCGGAGTGACTGGGCAGGTCTGGTACACAGACGGCTCTGTCACCAAAGAGCGCTCTGGCGCTGGGGTCTCTGTGCCTCTTGGTGGATACACCACTGTTTTCCAGGAGGAAATCTTTGCGATTCTGGCTTGTGTATCTCGCATTCTGGGGGAGGGTGCGCCTAGGAGAAGGATAATAATCTTATCCGACAGCCAGGCTGCAATGAAGGCACTAAGTGCCTGTAAGATTACTTCGAGCCTTGTGTTGCAGTACAGGGAGGCTCTGGCTCTGGATAAGGGATAATGAGACGGCGGACGCTCTGGCGAAGACAGGATCAGCCAGCAAGTTGGTTGGTCCTGACCCAGCAGAGAGTTAGGAGGAAAAAAGAGATGTGGATTGCAAGACCACACACTCAGAAATGGAGAAGTATCTCCAGACATCTTCGTCAGACAAGGGAACTCATTGTAGGGCCCAGCGCTAAGGATAGACGTTTCTGCTTATCTCTGGGCAGAGCCAACCTAAGGTTGTCTGGCCATAACACGTTAAGGCACCACCTGCACGTGATGGAGGTGTGCGTGTGCTCAACATTCAATAAAGCTGCAATCAGTACAATCGAAGAAGCAACAAGGATGCAGAAGAAGAGCAGCTTGCGGTATGAGATGCGATATGGCCGTATCACAGCTTCAAATGCACATGAAGTAAGTGTTTGTCATACACCTGATGGTTCATTGGTGGCTACTATAATGAGCGCAAAAATACCCGATACTGTTGAAATGAAAAGAGATTGAACTTTGGAGCTAGATGTCTGGAAGACGGTTAGTAGAAAATTGAAAAAAAGATCACTGAATGTGGACTTTATGTATGCCAAGACCATCGCATGATTGTAGCATCTCCTGATGGCTTAATGGAAGATGCGATTGTAGAAATAAGATGCCCTACCAAGGCAAAAGCTACCTAAGGACTATTATTTAAAAAATGTTCTTTCAGGCAAATGTATGTAATTGGTATAAAAAATGCTATTTTTGTGTTGCTGATGGTGACTTTGAGGAAACAACATTATTTTAGTGAATTATGATTATTATGTTGACAAATTAATACAAAAGTTAGCTATTTTCTGGAAAAAATATATATCCCATTTTGTATTGTAGCACCAGTCGGTGATAATAGTAAAATAAAAATACAATACATAATATATTTGTTGCTTAATTATTATTCTTCTAGTCCTGATTTTACATTATTTGTTTTTTCTTCTTTATTTACACATTTTGTTTATCACATATTTTGTTTATATTTGTTTTGTCACACCACTTTGTGTAACACTGTTAGTGAATGAGAAGAAAATTCCTGTATATATGCAGCACCCTTCTATACCTCATGAGTTATATAAGTAGTAAATTTCCCTTTTTGTACTCCGACCAGGTCAGTGCCTGATGAAAAGCCTTTGATGGTTTTTGTATAATTATCAATGTCTAAATAGTCTATGATACAGCTGACATTATGGTAGTTATGTCTAAATGATATAGGGAGATTCTTTTTCACTAATTTTTTATCTAAGATTACAATGAATGGTCTTAAAACACTACAATTGGTATGTTTCCTACAAGCAATTTACTGGCATAAGATAATGATATTCCAAAATCATCCTCTAGTTCAGAAAACGTACTTACTGTTCAATCTAATTTTTTTCAAGCATAGCAAAATGTGTTCTATTTTTGTACCTGTGTGTTTATGTAACAACTCAATTAAAAAATAACATTCTTTTGGAATACCAACACCAAATACTTCTTGGGAATTAAATCCATAGTAATTTTGAGGTGCAGTTCGGCAAATCCAGCTTGAGCCGCGAGATGCGCAGAAAACAGAGTGAGACGGTGGATGTCTGAGAGAAACGGTAATAGCCGACGGATATAGAAGTACAGTCGACGCGGCAAGTTCAGTTACAGCGTGCAAATTTCTGTTATTTCATTTAATTTGTTTTTCACTGTAATTCTTGATGTTTGCCAAATAAAATTCTATGGATATTTTCGCCAGGCTTTAATCCACCCGACTACATTCCGAATACACCCATTTGAGGTGTTTGCCTAATAAACTTGCAAAATTAGTTGCACCAAACTAGTTTCGTTAACCACCCAATGGCATCAAATAATCTGTTAGAGATGTTGCTTAAGTAAGAGGGGGCCCATCAGCCACGGAAAAATTATTCATCAGAACCTTCCCTGCTTAATAGACCTGCGGCGATGGCTGGTCGGCTTATTCAAGAGTGTCAGTGACTTCAGGAGCAGAAATAGGATTGGAAAATAGCCCGACCCACGTACGTTTCTGCTTATTGGCTTCAGCAGGCCCAAATATATGGATATGCATCGACAACGCCGAAGTGAAAACAATCGCCCATCACATCTGGATACGGGTGTAACCCGAAGAAAAACAAGGATGGAAAGGGAAACTAGGAGCCACCAACAAGAGCCAGCAGACACATTTGTGGCTTTGATCAGGATACCTCGTGCTTACAAGTAAATATACTAAGTGACATAAATCCGAACACCCAGTTTAAATGGTTTTATTTTAATAAAATTTTGTATAAGTACTTAATGAAGCATAATAAGTAAATGATAAAAATTTCAAAATGATTGCACTGCTTTAAAGCCCTTTGACCTTTAATAATGTGTGGATGCACCCTGATGTGCTACGCATTCTCCAACGCGCCTAGGCATGCTTCTGATCAGGTGGTCAATGTCCTCCTGTGGTATCTCATTCCAGGCAACCACCAACTCCTCTCGAAGTGCTTCTAGAGTCTGAGGAGGACGTTGCAAATTGAGCAATCTCCTACCCATCATATCCCACACGTGCTCAATTGGGGATAAGTCGGGAGATCTTGGTGGCCATGGTAACAATGTGACATCACTATGTTGAAAGAAGTCTATTGTGACTCTTGCAACATGTGGTCGGGCATTATCTTGTTGGAAAGTTGGATCTGCCAGGGTGTCAAGATATGGTAAAATAATGGGGTTCTAGAACTTCGTGGATATAACGCTGCGCGTTCATGTTACCTCTGATGAAGATTAAAGGTGACCTGGAACCATAAGCTATAGCACCTCAAACTATAACTCCAACAAAAAAATGTGGATTCCTCCTTTCACCACGTCGCCTTCTAACCCTGGCACGACCATCGTGCATGCCTAAACAAAATCGAGACTCGTCACTGTTCCATTCCTGATCCCAGAGTGACCGTTGTCTGCACCACTCAAGGCGATTACGTCGCTGTTCTCGAGTTAAAGGGAGGACCCAGTGTGGCCGGTATGAAAACAAGCCAAAACTTCTCATTCGTCGGTAAACACTTCGCATGCCAATAGGTCTTCCGTGTTCGGCAAACCATTCATTTGCAATGGACCTGGTAGTGGAGAAACGGTCCCTTAAGGCCAATAATCTTAGGCGGCGATCTTCACGGTCTGTTGTTCTACGGCGGCGTCCAGTGCCCCTTGCTCTTTGCGTACGGCCTTCTCGAAGCCATGCCTGACAACACCTAACCACAGTGTCTACACTTCTTTGCACTCTAACTGTAATTACCCAAAAAGAAAGTCCAGCTTCCCGAAGTCCCACTATACGGCCCCTATCAAACTCACTAAGTTGGCGAAATCGTACAGGTCTCCGTACTCTAGGCATCGTAACCGATCGTAAAGGATGTCAAGAACCAAAATCCGCCAACGTTGATTCTTTACTGCGGCTGAAATATTCATTTTTAGAGCGTTAGTGAATTAAAAAAAGCAGTATAAAAACCGGAATGTCCAACTGATAAGGCTGAAAATTTTTCCACTTGTTATTTACAGTAAGATAAATACATTCACCAACTTTTATTAAAATAAAACCATTTAAACTGGGTGTTCGGATTTATATGTCACTTAGTATACAAAGAAAGACAAGTAATCTTGCGGAAACTTAGATGACAAACAAAGAACAATCGTGGGATGACCACAATAAAGAAACACAGGAACAGAAAAGGAAATCCGTATTGGTAACCCGAGCGACGTACTGCCTACTGGCCTCATCCGTCCCAAATGGAGATAAGCAGAAACGTACACTAGCTCTTGTTGGTGGCTTCTAGTTGTGTTTTCGATGCACATCCATTTGGGCATAATTTTTTACACCGAAGCAGCCGCACAGGCAGAAGCCTAAATTCCAGGACACCGCGGCTGCTATGAGGAGCTTAAAGAAACTTTGTTAATCCGATTTTTGGACTGCCTGTAGTTAGTAGAACTGGGAAAAGCCTCCAAATGTAGATTGTTCCACAATCTCGATACCATAGGGACAAAGGAGCGGTCGTATCGGCAAGTTCTGGAAGTGCGAAGTTCGACACGGTTAAAGTGCGAGACTGAAGCAAAGCTTCCCGAAGAGACCATAGGATGAGAGTTTGCACAAGAGGGGAGCACGCCACAGCTGACCGAACGTTTTCGTGATATCAAGAGCAACGACATGAGCCTCGCCATAAGACTGGATGATTTCACTCCAAAGTTGCGTGACATAAGCTAGGAGGTCCCCTGTAGGTCGCTGTTGCCGGAAACAATACTTCCTGTAGCTAGGTACGTTCTAGGTACTCCAGAAACTTTTCCTGCACTTCTCCATCATCTTACTTTTAACAGAAAGCAGAGTTCTACGACTACTACGTCACTAACTATCGACCTATTTCACTTATATCAAGTTTAGCTAAAATTTTTGAGAAATTACTCCTTAATAAAATGATTAATTTTCTTAATAAATTCAAAATTCTAAATTCAAATCAATATGGTTTTATAACGGGCAAATCTACAACAGATGGGGTATTAAGTATAGTAGATGAAATAACCCAAAATATAGATGGAAAAGTACCATCGATATGCGTATTTGTGGACTTACAAAAAGCGTTTGACACAGTTAACCACAATATACTTTTGGAAATCTTAGAATGAATAGGTTTTCGTGGAAAGATGTATACTTTAATGGAAAATTATTTATCAAATAGACCGCAATCAGTAAAATTATTAAGCTCGTATAGTAAAGAAATGTTTGTTAAATGTGGTGTTCCACAAGGTACAATTTTGGGTCCTCTGTTAGTCAATATTTATTTAAACGATATATTCAAAATTAACAGTACTGGTAAAATAGTCAGTTTTGCAGACGATACTGCTATACTCTATAAAGGTAAGGATTGGAACGACTTAAAAGATATTATCCAAAATGACTTTTGCAAAATTATTCAGTGGTTTAATAACCGAAAATTAACAATTAACTTTACTAAAACTCATTTTTTACCATTTTCATCACTATTTAATCATCTACCAAAATATAACCACCTTCGGTTTAAGGTAAATGATAAAAATATAAAAATCAATAGAGTTAATGATACAAAATATTTAGGAATTTATCGATCCCCACTTGAGATGGGATGTACATATTTCTCACATACTAAAGAAAATTAGATTCATAGCATATAAAATAAAATTTCTAACCGGTATATTAACTGAATATTATCTACGAATAATATATCAAGCTTTAGTCGAGCCACACATAACATATGGTATAGTAGTGTGGGGTGCTGCATGCCCGACATACTTTAACGATTTAGATGTGCTTCAAAGAAGAATTTTAAAATCAATGTTAGGCAAATCAAAATTATACCCAACTAATGACTTATATAATGATGCACAAGTATATGATACTAAACAACTTTACTTCTTACATACCATCACTCATTATCACAAAACTATTAGTGAACACGACATAATTAAACATAATCATAAAACCAGATATAAATTACGCGCAAAAAATGTTCCTAAACCAAACAAATCCCTAATGAAACGATGTCACCTGTATATAGCTCCAAAATTGTACGAACATTTACCAAATAATTTAAAACAATTACGCAATACATTAGGCTTAAAAAAAATTTATTAACACGATTGGGAGAAATCAAATTAATAAAATAATCTCAAATATTACACAATAAATGCTCTACCATTCTTACCAATAATTTCTTTTTTCTCTCTATTTTATTATATTTTGCAATTCAACATACATATGATCCATGCACAGGCGTTGTCCTCCTATGGATATATTATATTTATTTACTCGTTTCATGTTCCCTGTATTTTAGAGTAAATAAATATTATTATTATTATATTATAGTTGTAAGGGTCGGTCTTAGATCCTTTTTTTGGACACGCATATTTTCAGTTTTCTGGGAAGGAGGCGGATTCGTTAAATATCTGGGTCAGACGCGGAGGAACTGGAGCAAGCTCCGCAGCAGACCTCTTCAATACAACGACAGGAATCTAGTCCGGCCCAGAAGCTTCGTTGATGTCGAGCGATACGAGCACCCGTCTTACCGCCTCATGCCTGAATGTTACTTCACGCATAGTGTAGGGAACCCTTTAAATCGACGGTACTCTGGCGTTGCGAGGGACATCCATGGTGGAGTTGGAATGACGGCAGTATAGAATTAAACATTATGTATTTTAAATCATTTTATTTGTTACGTTACAATATAACATATACGTTGCTATAGTATTCATACACCATACTCATGTAAATCATTAACAATAAAAAATGACAATGCTAAACTACAGTTTGAAAAAAACACACGTCACCAACCAGGTAGATAGTCCCTTTATTAGATGTACATATTTATATATGCGAACTAAATTAATGCATAAGATTTTATAGCTGTTATGAAAATTTGTGCTAAAGGTCATCACTCACCGCCTTTTCTCGCTAGTAAAGGAAAAACGGTAGTTGTACGCTTTGTGAAACCTATTAGAGTAATATAAGAACCACCACGTCTAAACGCGAAATCGCATACACCAGAATACTACACTCAATAATTTTAATATCCCCTAAAGTACTGCATGATTATCCAGAAGGCAATGCTTTATCCGAAAGTCATCAAATGTTTTGAAGATGCGTACACATTATCGAGAATGGCTTTTTAATCCTCATAATTTTCATGCACTCCTTAAAGTTTGGAATTCAAACGTTGTATACTTCTGATCCGGATATCAACGATTTCATTTCCAACATATACATTTAATAGCAAGAATTGGTAGTACTGTAGTGATGTAGTCACTGCTTTCCAAATATTAAACTTCATATCTTTACACAAGGCTATAATTACCTCCTCCATTTCTGTTATCTTTCTTATAACCTTGATAAACAACGACAAGCAGATATAGATATTTTTGATATGCTTCCTAACATTTCATGCTGTTGCTCTCTATACGGATCTCGCTTGAATCTTTGTAAGCATTTTGACGTGGCCAGTCCTCAGTCAATATTGATTACAGCGTAGAAAAGAAACGAAACCTCACTACATCGAATGCGCAATATTGTGCCCTGGAAATGTAAACGATAGCAGCAACAATTCAACAGATTTTGTAATTACCTTGTGACATGTCCTATTATTTATAAAAACATACATACAACTTTAAGAACAGACTAACCTAAAAACGAAGTTTTAGATTAGGGGCAGTTGATATAAAAGCCGATGACTAACGCAAATCAGTCTGTTATACTCTGTAAAAAAAAATTATGAACTTCGCCATCCTTTCAAGCACAGTTTTCAACTTTTCATCTATATTTAGACTTTTTATAGTTGCCAAGTCAGGGGAGTGCAAAGATCAGGTTATACCATTACAGGAACTCTGACGTGACCAAGATGAGATTTTTCTTCTGTAATCCACTGGCATCAAATCAGTATCCCTTTTATCCTGCTTCAAGAAACTCGAAATGACGTTAAGTAACAGAAGAATAATGCTTCATCTGAGGGGCAGCACAGTAAGTAACCAAATTCAAAGTTATGATTGCAATGCAGATAATGACTTATTCTGCTTCCAAATTGCATCATAACCACAACTCTAAGCATGACCACCTTTAAACTTTAAATTTGTATCGCACGTCAGTTTAAAAGAAAAGAGATGGGATCACTGCATAAGTGAAGTAGCGACTTTTCCTGATGGTTGTTTATTTTTACAAATATATATTTTTAACAGTGTATAACATGCTGGCTGATACACAGTTTCTAGCGGCTGAGCCCTTAACGAATCGGATGGTGTTGATTTCAGTTCTATAGCCGTTACAAAACTGTGTAAGCTACGACTGACATTCGACTTTATCCGCCCTGCTTCTGAAGTTCAAACACTCGTACCACTACTCACGCACACTTTGAATAAATAAATTAAAAAAAGTTATACATTTAGTCGGAATATATCCCGAGATATATTATATAGTATGAAGTTTTTTTTATAAAAAAGTGTTTGGAAATATCACGGGAGATATATGTAATGCAGTATCTGTGCTTTAAATCGATTAAACGAAGATTTTTTCATCCAACTTTTACATTCAAGCAGAAGCTACATTATCTATATATTAAAATCTTATCAAGAAAATGGTATTATTAAAAAAATGAAGAAGAAACAAAATATGTACAAAAGTATGATTTCACATAGAAAACATGAAACTTAATAATGAAAGATGTTTTTTTTTCAGTAAATGGAACACTGTTTTACAGTATTATAAGAGGCAGTATCTCAAATAAATTTGATTTTTAATCTGCCGTTTAATTCATTGAACCTAATATAGTCCAGTAGAATTAGAAGTTGTCTAGAAAATAACCCAACATCATCAAAAAATTGTAAAAATGCTCGGCTTGAAACATCGATTCTTTAAATGAAACGGCATTTTAACATATACTAAAGCTTGATCAAGAAATATTGCAATTGACATATAACAAAAATTGATTAGCATATGAGAGCTGGATTTGCTACAGATTCTTCAAAACTATAATACCACAAATTGATTTTTTTATCTTAGATGCGTTTACTACAATTTACTGATATTAACTGTTGGATTTTTTCGAAATAATCTAATTTGACTGGATTAATACGTAAACGCCGCAGTTCGCAAGTTTAGATTTGGTCTCATCTCGTTACTTCAAACATTATTCGAAATATTATGGCACTCTCATATTTGTTTTATCTTTTGACTAGGGTTTTGCCATGATCTTTAAAAGCAAATTATTTTATTTTATCGTGGCTCACCGAATAAGCACGTCATCATGCTTTCTGACTTATAGTCGACGAAATTTAGGATAAAAAACACCAATTTAAACAATCAGATTTGTCAAGATCGATCAAATCCAAGTAATTCGTCCGTCTAAAGTTATTAGATTCCTCTAGGCGCTTATCTCCCAAATATCAAGAATGAGCTCATGACCTTCCCATGCCGTAGAAAATATCCTAGTTTCACACTTGGTGATGCTATGACAAACCTGTCAGCAGTGTTATAAATTTTCCCAAAATTCGCCGACTATGCGCATGTTTTTTCTAAATGACTGGAACAAATTGGAAAAATGCTTCCACACAGTACATTTTTTACTTGAATTGGTCATTTTTTGTACTTGTAACCAAGAAAAATTATTGGTACCATACAATTATCATGCAAATGATCTCACCTACATCACAGCAATATAATATAAAAGAATAGAAAATGCCCCAAACGTCAGTCGTGTTTGTTGTTGAAGTGTGATTTAATACTATACAAACTACACATATACAAAATCATCTCTTTTGGAATAAAACGTAACAAAAAAATATATAACTTAACATAGAAGGAAACGATAAAATTAAATACATTACAAAGCTAACTACAATAAAAATAGGATTGGAATAAAAAGTGTAAAGTGAAATGAAGCATAATAAAACAAAAACTGTAGTATACATACTTGCTCGCTCATTATATATAAATGCATGAAATAAGAATGCTTAGGAGGAAAAGAGAATAGGTGTAATGGGATGCAGGTGAGAACGCTTTCTTGAGGTGTTGACGAAATGATGCAGCAGCGGCCAGTCTAATTCCAGATACGCAGGAAACTGTCCCAGGATCCCGTTCCCACTGCCATTCCATTCTCGGTTACGCCCAAGCAGCTAACACGATTGTCGTGTCCTGCCAGGATACCTGAAAATAAAATGTAAAAAATTACGATTTATTTACAAACCATATCAGCTGTTTAAAACTTAACACCTACTTCTGGAATATCGATAAGATCTACCTGTTAATCTGGAAAAACGGTGCGCATTTACGTAAGTGCACAAAACCCCAAATCAGCTTTTAACTTGAGATTGATAATGTTACGGCCAGGGTCGTCGTGATTTGAATCAAATTGTGAATAGATGTAGAAACAAGTAGCCGTATAACTGAAATAATTCATCAAGTATTTCAAAAAAGCAATATAGTTTATTTTACACCTCTCTCTGTCAGGGTCTTTTTTCTACAACTACTTCGGAACATTTCGGCTATCTTTTGAAAACATAAGAAATGATAGGAAATAGGACTCGCAGTTTACCTATGAACGTATGGGCCGACTATAAGTTAAGAAATGATCCGTCTAGCGCAGTGTTGCCGAACCGAAAAGGACGAAATTGGTAGACAGTGTCGTTGAAATTCGGTAGTTTCAAGGACAACATCCGTAGGAGGAAAAAGTCAGGACCGTCGCAAAATCAGCAATGGATCAAGGACCTTTAAGACACGCAGCGCCGTCTACGAAAAAAATGATATTTTTATATTGCGCATGCTCACACAACATAGGTTTTTTGGAGAGCATCTTTATTAGAACTTGTACATGAGCACATGCACTAGTCGCTCTTCAAACTCCTTTGCAATCATTCTGGAAACTACTTTTCCTATTCTCATTTATAATATTGTGAATATTTTTTTGTTTTACCCATGAACTTGAAACCTCATCACCTGACATTTTAATTTAATATTCAATTGAAAACAGACGAGTTTTGGTTTCCCTATTCATTGACCGATGATGTAGTAATGACGGTGATCTAATAGTTTGTACCCACGATACACATACACTGAATATAGGATGTTGCGCATGTGGCCGGAGCTTCGTGACGTCACCCAGAGAGTTGTCGACTCATGGCTACCAGCGGCAGGATTGTCGTAACGTTACTGCAGTGCACGTGTATCGTGGGTAATACTTTATAGTGCGATTTGTTGGTGATTTTTAGTGGGTTTGTGACTTGTATTAGTTATATATACTTTATGTACCCTGTGATGTTAGTAAATTGATAAAAATGCGGTGTGCTGTTGTGGGATGTAATTCCGACAACCAATCTAAACGGAATCATCATCCAAAAAGAAAAATCAAAGTCAATGTAAAAAGCGCTAGGGTTTGCTCGAAGCACTTTTGTGAAATAAGGTCAATTTGAAAAATACCCTTTTGGGTTACACCCCTAAAAGATATCGTGCTCTAAAAGATGTTGATGGGGAAAAGCGGAAAAGTGCTTAAGAAAAAAAAGGCAAAGGGATAAACTTATCCCCTAGAGTTTAAGTATAGAATAAGGTCATATATCTTGAGGCGAAACGAAGGCGTGAGTATGCGTAATACTCAGAGTATTGCAGCGTAGAGGAAGAGGATACTCCGGACATTCCATTAACCGCATCATTAACGAATAAACTGAATGCACCTGAAGTATCAGCTGACTATAAAGAGGATGTTTCAGTGGAAGAAATAGATGAGCTCGAGTATGATGGGCTGAAAAATTTGGCAGGCTTTGTTTGCCATAAATTGCAGGATGAGAGGTTGAAAAGCTTCTCAGATGAAACTTACTCCTCGATAGACCATCTTAGTGAGAGTTTATTATCAAAACCTTTCACAGCTTTCATGAATCAAATTGAGAAGCTTAATAAGGTGTTTACTACATTCAAAGCTGATGGAATAGCGACAGAAAAGCAAAATTTTATAGGCTAACTTCTGTTGAAGAGCAGCAACATTGACTGCCCTGAAAAAGCTAAGATACAATTTTTCGGGTCAAGGATGTTCTTCTGCATCAAAGAACTGAATAAAAATTTGAAAGACCAGAAAAATCGTAAAAGGAGACAAAGAAAAAATGTCGTTTAGACTAAGTCATTTCCATTTATTGTTATACCGCCAGCTTACTGTAAAAAGATAACTCCATTTTTCTACTTTTCGAATTGCGTACATTTTCACACTTGCATGTAGTTAGGTACTTAGGATGTCCTGTGAAATAAGGATGAATAAATATAGTGCAGTATTAACGTCATGAGCATGTTAATCCTGCTCCGAAGAACATACTAAAATATAGGTACATAATGTAGAAAAATCTTATTTTTACAGTAAAGTGACGATACGCGCTCTATTGTGGAGCTAGGAAGCCGTTTAAGCTATTATAGCATGTGAGATAGGAGTTACAAGGTTGAAATCTTTTATTTAAATCCGCCATTTTGTTTTGTATACAATTTTAATGTAGATTGTGTCACTCGCACCGCTAAGACGAATCCAACGACACCCCATATGTGAAAATCTATCCAGCCGTCTGAGCTGTAGCCTAAGAAATATGAATTACAAGGTTGAAATCTTTTATTAAAATCCACCATTTTGATTTGTATAAAATTTTAATGTATCTAGTGTCACTCGCACCGCTAAGACGTATCCAACGACACTTCATGTGTGAAAATCCGTCCAGCCATTTGGCATGTAGGTGAATATATACACGTTATCCATATCAACCCAAATGATAATCACTCTCAGCGTAACGTCATGCGCGCCAGCGGACGAAAATCGAACAGCGAAGCATCCGGCACTGGTTTGTACATATTATACGCACAAAAACCAACACACGGAAAGCGGATGTGCATCCATAATTATGTATAAGCAACCCAAATCTACGTCCCACCTGCCTAAGTTTACACATATGTATATGATTGGTGTGGGGCATAAAACTTCATAGATCTCAACAAAGTTTTCAGTTTTTCTAGCCTTATTTTTGTTTATAGCTCTTTTTCTGCAAAAATCTGGAAATATTTGAATTAAATCGCAAAATCGTGGAAAACGTCCTGACGTTTTCGGTATTTAGGTAAATAAGGTGTCATTTCTGTAGAAATACCGAAAAATCGGTAGGTCCCGCAACACTGGATTGGCGTGAACTGCTCATTATAAAAGATTTGTTCCAACTTTGAGTCTTGGTATCGTACCATAACCATACGGTTATCATCTGGTACGCTTGTCTACGCATGTGCTGGCTGGTCATGATTCCAGAATTGTTTCTGGGTTGGAAGGTGGTTAGAACGATTTTGAAATCGTTTTTGTGACTAGGAAGTGACATATAGTCTCTTCTTCTACTAATCGCAATGAAAGCTGGTCAGCTGATAACCCCTTCGCTTTGTTCAAGGCAATATGACTGCTGCGCGTTATGTTGATGATATTCTACAAACAACTTTACTGCCATATCTAGAGGGCCATCCACACGTCCTTTTTCAGCAAGACAACGCACGTCCCACGGAGTTCGAGTTGCTTGGAATGAGGTGCCAGAACCAGACATCGATCATCTTATGTTGTCGATGCCTAGACGTATACAGGAGTGTATTCAGCATCGGGGTCGCCCAAGACATTATATTTTATTTTTATTACTTGTCAATAAAATTTCGTGAGAATGTTATCGTTTCATTCTTGATGTAAGACTACCTCATTGCCAAAAAATCAAGTAGAAGAAATTATTTATTATTTTTAATTAATTTTAATGTCACTGAGTATATATTATGGTTATTGTTATCAGTTTCCAGTATCATTCACGACATCTATCACTTGTAACTTCAATGACAACATTATTGAAACTAGGGTTTTGATAGATTGAACAAATGGGATTAAATTACGCGCCAGAGGCATGAAAAAAGGTTCACACGTAACTGGTTAAATAGACGGTCTCCAATAAGCGAGCTTAAATTTGACGATGACAGATAAATGGCGTCCAACATGTTTTACCTGACCAGTATCATTGATTATCGTATTCTTCCTGAAGATAGTCAACCTAATGCTATATTCCCCTGTACAGAGGTGGCTACTCATTGGTTCATAAGTATAAAACCATGTTACTATTACTCGAGTAGATAAACCGAGGTGCATGCGATAAGTCTTATCTCAGTCATACGCGTGACTCCACTCGGTGACAAAATGCAAAAGGTCACTTTTACATGGCGCTGTAGTATGTGGTTAATAGTTAATTTGATATGTAATGTTGATACGTTAATCTGTATACGACTCCGTACAATATGATTATGATCAGAATGTAAGTAGATATTTTGAAGAAAATTAAGTTAGGAAGAGGAAAATGGTAAAAGTTAATGTTGCTGCTGATGCTGTGAATGGTAGACACATACATATTTAACAAAACTATTTACCAATAAAAAAGATTTTTACTAACAGGAAAGATGTGATACAGCGCTTTTCAAAAAGGTCCTCCCTGCTCAAAATTTGGAGTAATAGATCAAGTCAAGTCAACTTACACCTTATTTTGAAGTTCCTTGGTAGCACCATAATACCCCAAAAATATAAACTACAAATATATCAATCCTCAAATCTGATAGCCCACCAGTCCACCACTTTAAACAATATTAAATTTACGTTCTACGATTCCAAAGTACTGATGAGCAGCTACAAAATGAGGTGTCACATGAGCCTCCACTCCATTTAAAGAAATGATCCAAAGTAGCACTTAACCATCATCTTGGAATTTTCTACTGTCAGTTATGTTAAGATATCAAATTCATCACCTCAAATTTCATTTTGCTAACTTCATCTGTTCAAAAAAGTAGAGCTGTAGACATTTTCGAACAGTATTGTATATACTATTTGTTTTCTATATTATTTTTTGTATACAAGGTTAATATCTGCACAATGGTCTAATTCAAAATAAATGTGTTTCATTAAAAACGTATGTCCCATTTTATGCAGCACTAAATAAATTTTATTTTGAAAAGCTACAGGCGCATTTACTATACAATAATGAAGTCTGAGGCTATTCAGCTTCTTCATATGGTGGACGTTGGCATTTTTATATTTTTACATTTTGTTACTCTACCGTCCAAAATCGTCTATTGTGCATTTTTCGAAAGTGATGACTTTATAAAGATAATTTATTCTTTTATTATCTTATAAACATATACCTCATTAAGTTCTATTAGCAAAAACATGATAATATGAAACATTCCATATAATATAGTCATAATTGGTAATGTAAAATCGATATCATAATAATGTTGCGCAAATATTCTAAATATTGAAACGGGGACGATCTAAAACAATGCATTTCCTACCGACAAGCGGAACTAACACTACTCCGAGTGAGTAATAGTATCAACAACATACTAACAGTTTTTTGTGTTATCGATTTTATATGATAACTTTAGTATTGTATAGAATATTTTACTTATATTTTAATGTTTTGCAAATACAATTTAATGAAGTAAATGGACAGAATGCATTGCCGTTATGCAGTTATTACTTTTGAAAAACTAACAGTATACAAGTTGCAAAGTTCTAAATAATTCAAGATTTATTCATTGAAAATACGCTTGTAGCTTTTCAAATAATTACATATTGATTTGTTATATCAAATTTTTGTACAGGAAAAGAATGAAGCCAAGATACAGTTCATATAACATCTTTATAATTTTTATGAACGTTGTGTAAATAATTTTTTAATTTTTTTTTTAAGGATAGGCAATGATAAAACTATTTTGTATTGTAAACATTCAATCATTTTCCTCTTCCCAATTCTGGATTTTTCTATTTAACAAGCGGTTTTAAAAATACATTTTGCATCGAAAAAAAAAAACATGTTTGGCAACTGCACTTACACTAACTGACTAAACCCATTAACGATTCTAAATAATTTTTGGTCAATTTTAATGACCTTCGTTGAAATTGTCGAAAATATGGTCGACTTTATAGAAATTGTTAAATGCGTCGTGCTGATAACACTTCAGAATGCATTATTCGTTAAACAATAGTTAAATGTTTAATTTACTGTTTAGTTTTTTAATTATATCTTACAAAGACTTATTTGATGCACTCCAGATAACAAACTAATCACAAATTACGTGCTAAAGCGCCATATAAAACTGAAGGTTTGCCACCCGTATCTGGGGGGTTTTGTCACCGAGTGAAGCCTCGCCTGCAAAAGAGATAGACTGATTGCATGCGGGTGGATTTATCTTCTCGAATAGTAGTAACATGTGTTTATGAATAAGAGATCTACAGAAACCAAGGTGTCAATATTTACCCAGTTAGCTTCTAATACATTAGATAATCAAAGTCAGTTAGATGTCACATATATACAGATACTGCAAAAGCTTTTGATAGACTGGATTATTCAATTCTCATAAGAAAGTTGTATAGTTTTGGCTCTACTAATCAGTTCATAAAACTATTCTCGTCTTATCTGACTGATCGTCGCTTGTACGTAACTTATAATGGATACAAGTGCCCACTTCAGGGGTGCTCCAAGGGTCAAATTTGGGTCCCCTCCTGTTTCTTCTATTTATCAATGGTCTCAGTGATGACATTAAATGTGATACTTTGCTGTTCACTGACTACTTAAAAGTACTTTGTCAAATCAACAACATAAATGGTTGTAAACATCTACAATCTCAGCTCGAGATGGTGCAATACGAATAGGCTGAATAAATGCAAAATTGTAACATATGCACGTAAGCAGAATAAAACTGTATATGAGTATACTTTAAGTGGTCTAATTATATTGAACGATGTGATACTATATGAGACCTGGGAGTAACATTCGATAGTAGACCGAGTTTTGATCATCACATATCTCAAACAATTTCTGATGCAGCCGGCACGGGTATCATGCCACGTTTGCCATGCCACGTTTGCTCACTAGGATCGTTGTGAACGTCCATCTATGAAGGAATCACTCAACTAAACTACACGCATTATTGGTTGCATAGTTTTGTGAGGCTGAGTGATCCGTGTCTGTAGTTTTTATCTCTGAGAAGAAAGTTGGTTGAATAACAAGATCGCATCTGGATGATTAAGAGTATTGGTCTCCATGTGTATGAAATCAGTGATATTTGCTGTGTGAGAAAATCATTACTGAATATGCTGAATATGACGCGTTATTTAGATGTTGTGCTTTCTGAAGAGAGGTTATGTTCAAAGTTATAAATTACGAAAAACTGAGGAGAATTACGGGAAATCATCACCGCGCCCGCGTTGTGTGGAATTTCTGTTAGCATGTATATGGCTTGTAATTCGACAGTGTACAGTGAATATAATTATTTCTTATCTCTCTCATTTTTGAAATTCAGCAAATTTGTATATGTAATTTCCGGAATGGATAACAAAAAGTTGACGCGTAACTAATTTCTAGCTTTGAATCTCAATTAAGTGTATTTGAAACAGGAACTCTCCAATGTAATTATCATCACCACATTCAACTTACAGCTTAGACCTCCAGTAAGTCAACGTCTTGGCGAAAAACCTACATAATGTCAAAAAAAATCGGCATAATGTCACTTTTCAAGATACGTGATACCCGTGCCGGTATTTGGGTTTTATAGTTAGAAATTACAAACTTATATTTGATACTTTGCTTATGTAAGATCAAAAATGGAATATGCATCAATAGTTTGAAGTCCTTACTAGCAATGCTACATAAACATGATTGATTATGTGCAGAAAAAGTTTTCAAAGTATTTTATCCAGAGTGTGGGACTGACTATGGAGTTCTATTAAATAGATTTGGGTTAGCCTCACTGAAGACCCGACGTTAGTTCAATTATTTTTCTGTATATGCTCCTGAACTACTTCTAGATTCGTCTGAACTGTTATATCATATATCCTTTTACATTCCTAGATATAGTTCTCGACATGATCAGCTATTCTTTTTTTATGGGTGCAAATAGGAACTTGCTATTAAAATCACCAGTTAGAGTAATGTGCTGAAAGCTTGATGAAATTTGTAATTTTTGTGATTTAGTCGATTGTACTGTTAGGAATCTTAAAAGTATCCTTAGTGAGTTAACGTCATTAGTTCATTATGTATGGTAATATTGCCTTGTAAATGGATCATTTCTGATAAGTAATAAATGTTATTATTATTATGTAGTATAATGGTGAACAACAAACTATACAAGATATACAACTCACCGGCTCTTTCGGTCTTCATAGAATCCCATACGTTACAGTTGAAATCGTCGTATCCGGCCAACAACAGTCTGCCGCTCTTGCTGAACGCGACGCTGGTGATGCCGCAGATGATGTTGTCGTGACTGTACATGGCTAGCTCCTGGTCGGCGCGGATGTCGAACAGCCGGCAGGTGGCATCGTCACTGCCTGTCGCGAACGCGTACCCATTCGGGAAAAAGGTCACCGCGTTGATGTCAGACTCGTGACCGGGGAAGGTCTGCTTGCAGGTGCCTTCCCTGATGTCCCATAGTTTTGCGCTGGCGTCGCAGGCGCCTGGAAGAAGAATAAAGTAACATTATTAACTTTGACATTCCCGACTTATTTTCATATAATGCTGTCAGACTGCCGAACCATCGGAATAGGCTACTTGACTCATATCTGATGTCATATAATAGATTAGTATTTCTCACATTATTTAGCTTAGGAAAATGAAATATATCGATTTCAAGTTCTAAAAGCGCAAGATGGCCATAAGTCCAATTTAAATAAATATATTTTTTATTTTTAATATGAAACGGTTTAAGGAACATAATCCGTATATGTCTCTCATGGACTAACGTTGTCTTCTTTAGATATTTATAAAAAACATCTAGTCAAAGAAAAAAGTTGTCGTTTTCTCGTTGTATTAAAAAAATAATCATGGACTTTGGATTTGTAAGCAGCACAAATTTGCTGAAAATTGAAACATTGAGTAATTTTTTTACATTAACTCAGATTTCTGCTCTGCTGAGCTGAGAAACATAGACTTCTATATAAGTACATTGCACCTGATATAATGATAGATCTAGAAAGAAAGAATTAGTAATCCACTTATATAATCTTCCTTTCCAAAAGTCGTTCAAAACTAAGCTCAACTTCTGAATAATTTTATCTAATATTGTATTTCTTCTTACACATCTGTACGATGATGGTAGGTTACGTCCAACTTAAACCAGACGATAAAATCTGCACAGTAAAATGTAAAATATTTTTCGAAGGTATGCTCTAAGGCCGTATCCTACAAAACTGTAGGACGCCTTTATGACCTCATTGATTTTCATAGTTTTCTACAGTTCCGTGTCAGCGCTTTATTTTGAGGTTATGTTACAAATATCTATTTGCATAAAATTGTTCATGCTTTTGATTTATCTTTTTTTATAATCTGTTACTTCAGCCTGAAATTTCATACAAAGCAAGAAGAAAACATAGTCTCACAATAGGAGAGCGCTGACGCTGACACAGAACAGTAACAATTTAGAAATACCCCAGCCTTTTTGAATGAGAGAAAAGACTATGAGAATTAAGGAGGCTATAAAGCCGTCCTACAATTGTAGACGATACGGCCCTAAGTAAAACACAGTGTTGCGTATATTTATTTCGCTGGGTACTCTAATCCAAAGTTTTCCTGGGTTCTTTACTATATTTTTTCATATAAACTAGTAGAAGTCGTGTTTATATGTTTAAAAGTTTGAGAGGTTATGCAGTTATCAGCTGCTGTTCACAAATAGCAATGAAAGTTTTACAGTCTTGAAGGTTTGAAAAAAATATAGTATTAATTTTTTGGACTAATAGAACAAATATTAAATATTTAGATACTACTTAAAAAGGGTCAACAAGCATATTCTACTTAATGTAATGTAAGCAATGTAAGCTGCCGCGACGCGCACATTTTCGTCAGTCATTCTTGTCTAATAAGAAATTTATATGTACATATTTGATTCTACACATTGGAGACAATATTCTCAAGATATAGACGAGACATAGCTGAGATCTATTGTCGGGCCATATGTAACTACTAAATATGAACCGCATACTTTTCGTGCCATGATAAAACTCAACCAGGGCTAACATTTTACTAAATGTATAATAGTAAGTAGTAAATCTTGGACAAGACCAGCGAATTGGGCAAATGAAGGGGTACAAAGCGCTGAATTGATGCACTGCATTTTTAGGCGTTTTTACATTAATTTGATGAAGATAGTGCCATGTCGGGTGCCATGAAAAATGTATCTTGACTTTATACAAGAGATCAGTGCAAGATGGACCCACTTGTTCACATATCAACTACAGGTCGTTTCGCGATTTTTGATGGTTACATGACAATGCCCTCCAAAATAAATAAACACATTAACTGATTGTACCATGTGCATAGCTTAACTTCCCTAAGGAAAATTATGTATAGCGCAGGGCAAGTCCGAATGCATCTGCTACTCGCTCATACGCACACACATGAATTGGATTATAGATGACTGTTGTTTAAATTCACTTTCTGAATATACATGCTCCATTAAATTTAACAAAGACTGTTGACATTGTATAGTTCATTACCGAAACTGTTGACATCAAGGCTTTGTTGATTTGGATGTGATCTAATTTACTCCTTGATTAGATACATAACATTGATACATATACAGTGAAGTGTTTAGGTGGTACATAAAAGTTTTGGTAAACGACTTTTGTTAGTTGATAGGCAAAAGTTTCAAAATTAATTGACACATTTTGAGTATTCCGCAAATATTCCAAAGACTTCCGAAAAAAATAATTTTAATTTGTGCGTGTAATATCAAAAAAGTATGTTACCTGATACCAGTTTGAGTCATGATAATGAAATAATAATAATGTGTGCGTCTATCGACAATACAGCGTTAAAGCTGCTTTATAACTTTTGACATATTTTTCAAGCATGTCAAGACGCGGCAACATCGTCAGACATTTTGCTGACGTACAAAGGAAGCCCTCGTGCGCCGTTTTCAACCTGTTTTCTTCAGTCAGCTGCGGCGCGGATAACGGAAAGGAGCTGAGTTGGAAACTGTTAAAAAATCACGGATTGCGAAAGATGGATCACCAGGCGATGGATAGTCGGCATAATTTATGTTCTGGACAAAGAAATATAGTGAAAAATGTGTATGACGCACTTCGAACACGATTTCCAGAGCATCCAGTAGAGATATTGTTCAACTTTGTAGCAATATAACAACGGTATCAGTATCTACCATTTTCACAATTATAAGAGAAAAAATATAATCGTGTTCGTGGTAGCAAAAAAGCAAAAGCAGGGACGTAAACGAGTGGTTTTAAATGATGTTAAATACGCAATCCGTCGGAAGGTGCATTCGTTTTTTTATAAGAGAAATACCGACAATAAAAAAACTACAGCACGCTTTGAATACTGACGATAGTCTACCAAAAATATACCAGCGTGTTTTGCCAAGAACTTTACGAGGAATTAATATCAGATATTTGAAGGAAAGAGGAATAGCGCATTATCCAAAGGGATGTCATAATAACCTGGCGCAGGGAATATCAGAAAACAATACGCAGTATTCGCGTAATGGGAAGGCAGAAGATTTATAATTTGGATGAGCCATGGTTGAATGAAAGTCACACAGTTACTAAATATTGGCAAGCTCTAAACATCACATAGACAAGCATATCGTGATGGATTAAGTACAGGTTTTCAACGCCCTACAGGTAAACGTCGTCGTTTATTACTCATATTGGTATCGATTCTTTCTGGCTTTGTCGATTTAGGATTCAGCGTCTTTGAATCACGAAGAACTTAAGATTATCATGAAGATATGAACGCACAAGTTTTTGAAGTTTGGTTCAAAGCAGTGGTACCAAAATTAGAACCCGATTCTGCGATTATCTTAATTGTTCATATCACAGTCGACATACAATCTTCCCACTTTAAAATGGAGAAAGTTAGAGATATATAATTGGCTAGTGACAAAAAATATGTCGATGCTCAAAGCAGAGTTGATGCATATCGCTCGACAGCACAAGGGTAGGTACATGAAATTAGTGGTAGATGAAATAGCAAAGGAAAACGAATTTACAAGGTTTTGAGATTTCCTCCGTACCACTGCCAATTCAAGCCAATCGAGTTGACATGGGCTCAAATAAAAAACGACGTAGCGCGCAGGAATACTACTTTTAAGATGGATTACGTTCGTATTCTTTTGGAAGAGGTCTTTAGGGATGTAACTGGTGACACGTGGCAGAATCGCATAAGGTATGTGATAATTAACTTAAATGAAGACAATGATAGGGACAACACTGACAGTGACAGTTCCTTCACGAATAATGGTGAGTCATAAAACCGCAGCGCAGCCGATTACCATTTGTTCAATTGAATATTTATTTATTTATAGATGAATTTGCACCTATTTACGTTACATATTATTCATAGTAGTCTCATATTTGTTTTTAATGTTTGAATAATCAGAATTTATTGTTTTATCTTTGCGGGTCTTCCAGTTTCAAAACTTTTTATTTTTGTGATTTATATTTTTAAGTTTTAGAGTTTAATAATATTTATTTTTCATTTTGTTGAAACTGAAAGACGGATGGAGGAAGAGACAGGACTCGATATGCAGCTTCCTCCCCGTGGTGAGTTCTGGGTAGCCCGAACATGGGCTAGCTAAGAGCCGCATTAACGTTCTGACATATTAATCCATTTTTTCTTATAGTAATCAGTTACAGATCGCTGCTCTAGCTATTTCTGTTTAACGATGACAAGTGTTGCAAAATGTTCTACAGTAATGTCCTACTTTTTAACTCTTTCCGAAGTGTAATTGGTCGCACCACAGTTTTGATAGTGAACTATAGATGTATGTTCAGACATTGCTATATTTCCTACAGAATATCATCAGAACATAAACTCAAATATCACGCCCATGATAAGGAAGTTGTCAGTGACAAGCATAGATTTAATGTGGAACATTCATACGTTGACTATAAATGTTTAAGGTGATGAGACAAAACTGAAAAAAACGTACGTCTATGAGCTTAAGCAAACGTCTTTGCTTAGATGCTGATTACATATGTGTGTGAAGTGGATGGATGTATAAAATTAATTAGGCGTAGGTGGCAGACGGTCTCGGACGTGGAGATACCACCCGGCGGATCTCTAAGGTAAGGCCAGAAGGTGTGCATATCGCAGGGACAAGTTCCCCTGTACCCTATAGCACTACGGTATCCTCGAGTATTTAGGCATTAGGCCTTCGTGGTGGTTCAAGTATAAAAAATACAGTAGTTTTACTATCTATGATCGCTGTTCGCTGACGTTTAAGCAACAGGTACAGCTACAAAACGAGTTCACAGCACGTGTACAACAATTTGTGCTAAGTTAGCATCTTGTAGAAAAACCTACGTAATGTCACAAAAAACCTACGAAATGTCACTTTTTATGATACGTAATACCCGTGCCGGGCGTACTTTAGCGCTCCTGTGCCCTGACACTAAATAGAATAGCGGACAAATATACTGTATGCTTTCCTCCATCTTAATCA